ATTTAATTATTCCTTGTGTGCTACATTATGGGCACATGGAACACATAGTAAAGGGTTTTAGTAGTTTACTTGTGGGTATTTTAATATTTTCATTTCACTTAGTTCACTGGTAGAAAGATGAGCCCTCTAGTATTACATTCAGCGCGACAATAGAGAATAAATTACATTTTGCACTAAAATCGAAACAGATGAAATTAATTTTTACGTTAGATGAAATTAAAATATATAACGCTGAACCGTCTCACATTGCTCAACTTGCTGAAGTTTCGCCTCTTGGCTTTTTCACAGCTTAACTGAAACTGGCTCTCATGTTACCCTGTAACTGCTTATAACTTGTTTGAGGGGGTAGCAGATAAGGGAAGTGCATGAACATTATCTCGGATGACTGTTGATTAGTTTATTTGCCTTAGTCTTAACGCTCTTAAATGTTTTTGAGCATAGTTGTATGTGTTTTTTGCCGCATATGCATAGATGTTATATTTCTTAAGAACTTTTGATATGTAGTGTAATAGTGATGTTTTGAATGAAAGAGAGGACAACAGTGGCAAGTGTTGGGTTGCTTTCGGACTTTTACATTCAAAACTTGTGAGATGCCAGGAGTTTACAGCATTCCACGCATGTGCCGCATAGAATGTATTGGAGAGACCGCAGGAAAGACATAAATTAGACTCAACAAACATGAATTTAACCGCGACTCAAGTTTTTCCATGTCACCAACTTGAGAATCAATCATCCGCTACAATGTTTATGCCCCTCCTATATTATCAGGTACAGAGTAAAACGCGAGTCAGTTACAGTTAAGCTCCGAAGAAGCCAACAGGATGATTGGCGAAACATCAACAAGTTCGATTTAACAACAACAGAAGGAATCCAGAATTTTTGCAAATAGTATTGCAGTAACCTGTTTAATTTTCGGTGAAAATTTATTTATTTTTGCTAACATTAGTGAACTAATTTATAAGTTTTAAATGGACCCAAAGTAATACCAAAACCCCTCATCATGTGTATCAAATATCACCGGAATATCATTTGCCAATAATTAATAATAGTCAACAATCTCATTTTCCTGTAGTTCTAAAACATTCAAAATTCAACACATTCTTTTTGTCAGATGATCGAAAAGTACGCTGTTTAGTCAAGTTTTTTATTTCAACAATGATATGATTTTAATAGGTCTGGTTTTTATATTTAAGCACGAAATGGAGACAAACTCTCAAAGACGATAAAAAATGAACGATCCGCATGAAAAAAAAAAAGTTTTCAAATACTTTCTTCTAACTTCGAGCACATATATATGTATAGTAAGGAAACAACACAATATTATCCAAAATAAAAAATTTAATATCCTACGGACTTGGAAAACTCTATTCTATAGGTATTTTTTAACTGGAAAATACCAAAAACATTTAGGCAATTTTTACTAAAGCTTTTCAACTGGTCTTATATTTGGATGTTTAGTAGAGTATAAAAAATTGTTCAGAAAAGCAAGTTTATTGGGTTAATTAATTGTAATATTGAAATAGTATGCATTAAAACATAACAAATATTTTGAAATCCCTCCTTCTATAGGTGGGGGCTGGATTGCACGTATGTGGCAGCCTGTACAAATTTAATATTTTTTTTTGTTTTGTAAGTCAAATTTCCTTTGTAATCGCTACCGCCAAATAATGATCTCAACACCATTATTACTTTTCCATCTACTAGTAAAAAATGTGTTAAATTTTTTGAATTTGTCGAGTACGTTAAAGAGGATTATTGGAAATTTTTTATTTATATATATATATATATATATATATATATATATATATATATATATATATATATATATATATATATATATATATATATATATATACATATATATATATATATATATATATATATATATATATATATATATATATATATATATATATATATATATATATATATATATATATATATATATATATATATATATATATATATATATATATATATATATATATATATATATATATATATATATATATACATATATGTGTTTTTTTTGAGGTATTGGCGTCAATTTGAATCAGAGACAGTTGAGTAAGAAAGAATAAGCAGGCTATGGATTGGAAGTAAACACATTCCAATTGACTAGCATTGACTATTATTAATCTAAATAAAAGATACTTCACCGTTATATTAAAGCGGAATAAAAAAAACCTTCAAAATAACTTGAAGGAATTAATAATAATAATAATAATAACGCTTTTATTGTTTAACAGAGTGTCAATTTTGCATAAACCTAAACATAGTTAGATATACATAATGATAAAAGAAGTTGATAAATGAGAAAATGATGACAATAAAAACTATTTAACAGGTATTCATTAAGAGCCGTTTTAAATAATCCCAGACTGGTGTTGCACAGATCTATGTCAGTTTCGCTCTAAAGCTCATTGAAATTGTTCGTCGCCTCAGAAAGTGGGCCTTCGTTCCAGCATTGGTAGAGGTGAATAATATGCCGTGCATTAAAAGAAGGAATACGAAAATTGCTGGTGCTGTACACTGGACACTCGATGAGGCCATTACATATTTTATATACAAATACTACCGAGGCGTCCAGTCTCTCAGACTCCAAGGACGTAAAGTTAATTCGTTTGAGCAATTTTGTATGGCCGCAGCCCTAAAGTGGAAACCGACCATCCAACTTAAATGCTAGGTACTTTAGGAATTTGGCAAAGGCATAATTAATAATAAAATAATAAAATATGCGTTAATAAAATGTCGTTCACCAGATGCCCAAACCAAATCCTCAATAAATGTTAGTTTCGCTTAGTGGCGATGTTTTGTGGAGATGAATGTATAAAATTGAAAATGTGTATCTCGAAAATATTTATTTAAATAAACGTAATACACCTTTTATCTAGAAATTACGACTCTAACACAATCTTTAAAAAACAAAATAACAGAGAAAAATGAAATGGAATAAGAAAGTTATGGTATAAAATAGCTAGATTATAGAGTCTTCCGAAAGGCATCTACACATTATATGGAAAACTGAAATGTAATCATAATATCCACCTTATCGAGAGACAAAATACTTTTATGTCAATATTTAAAAAACTGCTTGAGCCATAAAGAAATAGCAATTTCAAAAACTAAACTTTTACATTTTCTATATATGTAATTAGCGAAAATTCCCTAACTCTTGTTGTGTTTAATCTATTATAACAACCCTGTATACTGACTTTCTAAGCTGACCTAGAAGCAAACTAAATAGTGTGGAATTACTGAATCGCGTATTTCAAAAACAGCATATAAATAAATATACTAAATACTTATTTGCACCAACAAATCATACCATGATTGATTAGTTTTTAGTGTTTCAAATTTTAATTATATTTTAAGTTATAATAATATTAAAACACTGGACCAAATAATCCGTGACAGACTTCAGTTTTCTGACAATTTTTTAAAATTTCTTCAAAAATCAAAATGTTTTGATCTCACTTAAAGTGGTTCAAGCTGGAAAGATCGATTATGTTGGACTGTAAGGAATCTTAAAATGCTTAGCAATCACTCTTTGGACTGTAGCACTTTCTGTACGCTTGATCTGTGCATAATGGTATATTTTAGTGAAGTGAGTAAAAAAACAGAATTTTATCAACAAAACAGCAGTATCAAAGTCTACGCTACATAGACCAGCTTTACGAAAAATAGGTAGATACCAATTTACTCCAAACTGAAAAATAATTTCTAAAATATTTTAAAGAAATCAGTGGCTCTTTTTGTTCTTTCAAAACTATTCAATTGATTTAATTACACCACTGCTGTTTACCTCTCGCTGTTAGGGGTGTTAAGATATAGTTTGTCTCGATCTTTCGATGGACCCTCCCCAATAAACCTTTAGAGATATTATTACCTGTTGTTATTGGGTGAGGCTATTAACAAAAAATGCATTCTTACTTGAGTGAGAAGACAGGAGTGGGCCATATATATTTCTTTCTTTCTGATATATTTCTTAGGTGTTAACCATTTGTGGCAGTATTGAATAATGGTTTCTACTGTGTAAGTTATTTTACGAGAATATAACGATGTTACGTAGAAATCATTTGTCGCTTGATGCAAAATTGGTTGTGAAAAATGTCCATGAAACTTTAATCAGTAGAGGACTTATTTAACAATAAACTTCAAAAGAGACCTATCTACTTACAAAAGCCAATTTTGATGATGAGGGATATTATTAATAGTGGAGAATTGAAGAAAAGAAATAAACTTAGTGATTTTGACTCTCACCGTATAGTGATCACGACCTAATAAGAAGAAAAATGTATTGTTTTTATCAAAGTGAAGTTGTTCCTTACTTGAATTTACTGAAAAAGAAACGCGAAGAAGGTGAAACCAATATAAATATATTTTGAATTCAGTATTTGTGCGATAATTTAGCTGAACAGGCTGGGCATACTGTTTTCGTTTTCCTCCATATCATTGCATGTTTAGTCCCATATAGCATTTGTGCGTATTATAATTAATATCAATGACGACTCTGATGAAACAGAATAAGACGTAGACATTTAGAATAAAAATGTAATTATCTAAAGATATTCTTAGCTATGAATTTATTGTATATATTTAATGTTATTCTTTTTTCTTATCGGAATTTAATAACATTACACTCCTAAATAAACAAAAAAAAATTATTACGAAAACCTTTGAGAGTCCGTCCCTAATGTTCTGTCATTTAATACTCTTGCACCATTGCCGTCTGCAGGTAACTTCCATAACTGCGGGCAAAAGCCAGCACGATGAAAATTGAGACAGCCTAAACATAATTTGCATTTACCAAATTAATAAATATCTGGAAAGAATTTCGCAGCACTATACATTTTGATATACAAAGGGCATTAAATAAAATTGTTCAAAGTGGTCAAAAATGTTAGCTCGATCAGATCTGTTATTTTGGCTTACACATTTCATGTAGTTTTTTAAAACCCGCAATTAATAACCTAGAAAATGTCATTAGTCATTCTTACCAAAGTCTTATCGGGGTCATAAATCGAAAGTGACTGCACAGGACTTTCTAAAGCTCCCAAAACCAATTTCAACGAGTGCGCCGTTGCGGCAGGACAATCCAGGAAAACGCCGCCATTGTCGAAATCTAAACAATGGCACGAAGGGTTAGCGGCGGGAGAGGGACATTGTTCTCGGCCCCCTGTCGCTCCCCATAGTGCCAGAAAAAAGGTTAGGGCGGCCCTTAGCCGCCTCATGATGCCGCCGCCGGCTGGCCACCTGCATATGGGTTGGTCATGGCGTAAAATTGGAGCAAACTACATCAGCCAATGCTTAGCTGAAACAAAAAAATTCCTAGTTTAAGCGGGAAATCGATTCTCATGATTGAAAATAATACAGAGCCAAACCACATATATTTCATGAAGTTTCAGTGTTCATTGGCACGGTTCTGATAGATCAGACTGATTAATTACAGCTCGTCAGTTTCACGAAACCCATAAAATCAAGTATATAACAACAGTATATAAGTACATAAGATTATCACTAAACTGGAGATCTGTGTGACGGTTGGGCGTACGGGATCGCCATCGGGACACAAATTATCAGCGTGGAAAAAAACAAACGTTTTTTATTTTTCCTGTTCTCTGTGTTCCGAAAGGGACCTGCCCTTTGCTCGAAAAGGTGCTATAAAATACAGTGTCCGAAATTAGAGTTATAGATTTCAAATTCAGCAGGAATTTGAGACTATTAAGACTGGGCGGGAACGGAAGTTCCGAAGTATTTTTTTTTAAATTATTTTTTTTTACTTAAAAAATTTTTTTCTCGAAAATGGTATGCCCGATCCAAAAATTCTTGAACCAAAAGACACGAGAGATAGGAGACAATAATCTAAAAGTATAGTTAACTTAAAAATGTACATATTGTCGCGGTTAGTAAATTAGTGACCGTAATAGAAAAACCGTGGCACACGGTGACGTTGGGTTTTAATGTCATGTGACCTATTTGCATTCACTGTTTTTGTCTATCATACAGACCGCGAGAATCAATGGCTGGAAAGCGATGGGTTGGCATTAATTGTTAACTTGAAACTCAACTAATCTACCAAACCTACACGGTCACCAGGATTACCATTTTTTGCATTTGCCGTTTTAATTAGAAATGATAAAAATATGCTTCAATAAATTGTCGCTCATTGGAGCACCTCCTAGATGCCCAAATCAAATTCTGAATGAAAGTAAGTGACATAGCATCGTTGCCGATTTTTGCACAGATGAGTGTATTCAAATGGAAATGTCTTGAAAACAGTATATTTTATGCAAATAATTGTAGTAGACCTTTTCCACCTAGAAATCATTACTCAATCACAATCTTAAAAAAACTAAGGGGGCAGGATAAATGAGAAAGTGAGATATTATAGAGAGCAACTAAAGCCTCTCTACACATTACGCAAAAAACTAAAATGTAATCATATTTACCTTCCTTCACTTAATAGCGCCACAAAACAAACCATTTTTAAAAATTATTTTTGTAGATTTTTGTGCTGTCCGAATTGAGCAATTCAAATGTAAAAAAATTATATTTTCAAAACTAAATATACTCGTTTTAATAATAATAACAATAAAATTGTGAAACACCAAACGATTCGAATTTCATAATGGAAAAAGTTAATAAACGAAGTCGACAAAATCGCTGACAGACTGGAGAATTATTTCTTTGTTTAAATAAGGGAATAGACAGACACCCTCAGTAACTCGCTGGTCCAATAGTGGTTTTGGTAAAAAAAAATTTCTTTTGACTTTTGCAAAAATCAATTTACTTTGATCTCAATGACAGATGCAATTTGTTGGGCTGTAAAGAATTTTAAAATTCTTACCATTTACTGTTTGGATTGATTCTTAGATTATTTTTATGTGGCTTATTAGATAGATAGATTAGAAATAAGATATAATATTAGACTATTTTAGTAACCCAATTTCAGAAAATGTTCAGACAATAAAAGATATTTAGTCCTATTGATTAACCATACCCATAAAAACCACATTAAAGGAATCGAAAAGGAATCAAAACAGACACACAGCAAAGATTCGGCTTCATCTATTGGTCAAAAATTTGACACTGAAAATTGGAGCATTAAATGACATCAAAACAAACCGATCTTTATTAATTTAAATTCATATAGGTATTTTAAAGAAAAGTAAAAAAGTGTTACTACTAAAATCACAATCAAACCCACAACCTACGACATAGCAGGTGCCCCTCGAATGACTTACGACAGTGTTTAATGAAGCTGACGTTCGAAATTAGTACCTTGCGCAATCGATAAAATTGGCAAACGTCAAAATAATGTTAAAATCTATGAAAAACATCCGATCGCTCCCAAGCGCTGGACAAAATTACCGCAAATGTCTGAAAAAGCTAGCGACTGTCGGTAACCAAGCGGACATCTTAATAACACTTTCTGCACGCTCTATTTTAGAGTAGTGAGTGAATAGTAACAACAAGTGGGAAAAACGACATTTGTGTCACAAGTGATTTGAAAAAGTTTACCAAACCTGTTGCACGAATACATTTACTGACATGACCTACTGAATTGACCGTGAGGTAATATCTCCGAAAACATCCGATTGGTCCCAAACCCGCGCGGTAATATCACGGAAATATCGGAAGTGGTTCGGATCTGTCGGAAACGAAACTCGGTAAAATGACACTAGATCGTTGTAAAATTAGGTATTTTACGGAAGGGAGTATAAAAAACAATTTTTACAACAAAACCATTACCATTGTTTAGGCTACATCGACAGGCTATACGAAAAAAAGAGAAGAGAATAAATTTTATATATTTTATTTTATATTTACTTAGTTTCGAATCTGTAGTAGTTTTTTTATTAATTTATTGTGTAATTATTAACGCGCTTATCACTATGTAATATTCTGAATACTTCTATGTATGTAAACTTGTTGTGTTTTTTATTGCCATCAAACAAATAAACGAAAACACTATGAAAATGAACCATATAAGCAAGTAGCGATCCCTAAACCCCGGAGTCCCTTGAGAGGGATAGGGGTGCGAAGAGTCCCCGGGTGGCACACAAACCATATTTTAGAACGAGTTGCAACGTGGAAAGTAAGAACGTTATTTCAAGCTGGGAAATTAACAACGATAACACGAGGAATGTAAAGATTAATTCTTCTATTATTCAGACCAAGATAATGGACAACAAACTAGTGGTGTAGAAATAGCATAATATGCAACAAGTACGGTAACGGCATTTGACTCACGAGTTTATTTGATACGAGCGGGGCGAGTGTTTAACAAACGAGTGACTTATAAAGTTTACCGAACGTGTTGCATACTATACTTTTTCTACGACCGTTAGTTTTTGGCTACATTTTCGCAAAATAACACGAATACATTCACTGACATGATCGTCAGAACTGACAAACGTTAAAATTCAAGGAGTAGAAAATTAATTGATTGATATATACATAAAACATCAGTTGTAAACTTTATTCCTTTCAATGTCTATATTAATGACATTATTACAAATTGGACAAATCGTACGAAAATACCAACATTACCAATATTGTTCAGGATGAGTTAAAGGTACGCGTTGGCGTGCGATTTGCACATGAGCATAAAAAGTTACAAAAAACTTACTTCGGAACAAAGTACTAAATAGTTAGTCAATTTTTAAATCTGTATTACAGACGGGACAAGTTTTGCGTCTTGTATATATCAACATTTTTGGATCATAGCAGACTCGTCGTCTGCGCCCTGCACAAAATGATCTTAGCGGCTCAGGCTCGGCTTGTGCCCGACTCGTGCTTGGCTGGGAATTAAAAATCTCGCTTCTAAAAAACAATTTTATTTTGACAAGCGATCTAAAGTACGTCTAACTACAAAATGGACTTTAGCATGCAGGGTTTCCCACGGTGACAGTTCTGTAGAAGTTTTATTAGAAACAAAATAGATGTTGTTGCGAAACCTGGTATACGGTCATAATTGTCACTGTCGTACAATTTAAAAATATATTCGCCTGCGACTTTGTTTTCCGGCCTGCGCTGTTCGCTGTAACGATTAGGACGCGTGTGTTGCTACTAGCTCCACTGGAGACGGTGGCTTGTCCAAGGGTGCCGTAATGGAAAAAATGAGACGCATTCTCCTAACGAACCTAGACTTTATTATATAAGTATCAACAGAACGGTTTATTTGCTGCAATATGACCCTGAGTGGTGCGCTAACCTTACATGCGACTTGTTGAACGGAAAAACTGTTATTTCTTCTATGACAAACAAGAAACAAAATATGTATTACTCGCGATCATTTCCAATTATAACAAACAAAACTTTCAGTAAATGACGGCTACCTACTAGGCGGTACTCGATGCGCGATGGTAATGTGGTCGCGGCTGGTGTGGTCGGCTTTGTTATGAGGCAGGTGTCGTCAAAATGCACAAGCAGGTCCATTCCATTTTCCAAAAATTTTAGTTTCGAATATTTTCAATTTTCAATTAGTTTTTCCTTTTTTGTCGTTCGGGTTTGTACATGCGGATGTTCAACTCCGACAAAAATGACGGAAGCTAATGAATGGGTAAAATGTTTCTCAGAATTAAATTTACGCGTAAAATAGATAGAAGAACACATGGGAAGAGTTCTATAAAATTCAATCAGAATTAGAAAGAAGTACAGGATTAGAAGAAAATTATATCAGGGTTATTTCTAATACTTCTACAGTGATAAAGTCACTAGAAATGTCTGTGATGGCAAACGGACAAACCGAAAGTCTAATTCAAGAAAGAAGCAATTCGAATAACGTACTTCCCCATTTACCAACAATAAACGTTTCGCATTCAAAATGGTGTAATGGGGAACAAGATGGTGAAAAATATATCCGTGAAAATACGCGAGTTAATTTGAATGGACAATACGAGGTAAAATTACCACTGAAAAATTTATTTCGAATTAGGTCAATCACTGACGACGGCTTGTAAACGATTACATTTCCTTAAAAAGGCTTGGCACTCGACACAAAAATCAGAATATTTTTTTGTACAGAGGTATGCAAAAATTGGTCACAGGACCCGCTTAAAGGAAATGGAAATGTAGCGTCATGTAGTTTTTAAGGATCAAAGTTGGACTACCCGCTCCTGCATAGTTTTCGATGCCTCATGCGTTGCATCAACAGGCACAAGTTTAAAAAAGTAATGAAATTAGGACCGAAAATAGAGAATGATTTATATGATATTATTGTCCGAATGCGTATTCACGAGAATGCTCTTGCGGAAGACGTCGAGAAAATGTATCGGATGGTTATAGCAAACAAAATTCATAGGCCAT